AAGGAAAGAAAACGTTAACAAAGGGGGGCGGGGGCGGGAGGGAAGCAAGCATCAAGAGCTTTGTATCTTCTGGAATATAAAGAAAATAAAATTTGACATGAATGACATATATAAATAAATATCTATATCTATATATTGTTGTGCAGAAACTAGGTTGCCAAACATAAAATACTATTTGTAGCAAAGAAAAGCATTTTGCTTTGATTCAGGGAAAGCTGGTGCTGTTTTAGCAGTTTGAATGGTACAGACACAATATCTACCAGTGGGACTTCTTTCCCTTCTACATCTCAATCCTGCAGTTCCAAGTTGCTTTTTAAGTAAAAATAGGATCCTTTGCAGCCTCATCAAGCTGCCCAAGAGGTAGGCCTTACGGGAGCCAGCCCTTCCGGACGGATCGATTCCGCTTCGAAACTCCTTCAACGGTGCTTTTTTTCATATTTCTACTCTTGATAGCTGGAAACCCTGTTTCTTAACTGAAGCTGTACATTTTTATACCATCTTTAAAATCCAAGCGTCGGTCTTTTCTTTTCTTTTTTGTATACAGAAAGGTTTTTTTTTTTTAATTCTGTGTTTTCTTTGTGTTCGTTTCTAAAAAAAACAAAAACGATAAAGCTCGTCTGCACGTTGGAGCAAAATCGAGTCTGCTCTGTTTTAGAGCTGGCGGGAGGGAATGGCTTAAATTAGACCGGACTTTTAAAGCTGGTTCCTTTCCTCTTTGTGGGTAGGACTTAGAAGTCAGTAGGAGCCTGATTTTGTTGGTTTTATTATTATTTTTTAAAGCCTGCATCAGCCCAGTGGCATTTTGGAGAGCTATCTGGGTGGCCTTTCTTACCAACCATCACTCAGCTCTTCTAATAATTTGTGGCAGGAAGGAAGTTGAAATTGGAGGCGGTGGATATAAAACAGAGAAAAAATGGAACTGTTTTATTCCCCCTTATGAGTATAAAAACTCTCAGCAGAGGGCAATAACTTCTCCCTGCCCCCAGTAATTTTCATTTTCTGTAGATTTCTCCGTTTCTCCAGATTTTCGCACTCCTAGGAGGCATTCCTTGTAGCATCTAATTGTATGATGGATGAAGAGCTGTTGGGAGGTTAACAGATTGGGGGGGAAAGATACAGGGAGAAGAAAATCAGGAATCTGGGCTGTGTAGAACCCAGAACAAATGTGGGTTTGTGGGGGAGATACATGCCTCTCTTCCTCCCCCCCCAAAAAAATTAAGAGTCATCCAACATGTGGATGCTCCACAAGGGTGAAGAGGGATTTTTTTTCTGCCTGTTCATAGATCTGGAGGTGAAAGGGACCATTTACGCAGGAATCTAAGCCTGAGTTTTCGACTGCCTATTAACTTTATCTCTGCCTTGTTGAACTGGGAGCATCTGTGAGATAGGAGCACCCCTTCTCTTCCCCGTATCATTGGCTTTTGGGGATCCAGGGCGGGCTATGCGCACCCTGTCTAGATTCTGCTTTTCCACCAAAGTGTGGAGGAATATCATTCCAGAAGCATGGTAAGAACCACCATCATACTTGGACTTGCATCTGTTGCTAATGGATAAAGTGGCTTGCCATGAGTTGGGCTTTTGGTCTGCCTGTCCCCATTGGGTTGGCACAAGATATCCCCAAAGATTTGAGCAGAGTTGCTTGCTTGTAACCGTGAGCCAGCAGTGAGTTGGGTGCAGCTATTATACTTCGCTTATTTGCTTTTTTCCCCTTGGCAAAGAGGAAGAAGCTAAGTGACTCCTAAGTCCTGGTGGTGTGCTCAGGTTTGTTCAACAGCTTAAGGAGGACGAGCAGGAGATGCTTGGGAGTCCATATTGTTGCTTCTGGCTGGTGAGCATTGCTTCTCAAGTACAGCTCTTAGGGTCAAAGCTTCTGGCCCTTCTTTTGGGGTGGGGTGGGGAATTGAATCCAGCCTTGGACCAACCCAAGGATCTCCTCCATCAAGCCAAGAGGGCCAAGTCATTCAGAATTCCCTTGAGGAAAGTTGCAGTCATTTCCATAGTTTTGAAACCTGTTGCATGGCAGCAATGCTGTTAGATAAATTATAGCAATGGAGAAACTCTGCCTCTCTGGATCCATTGAAGTGCCAGTTCTACAAACCATTGACTCCCTAGCAGGGACCAATGAGGTGGTCACCCAAGATTACCTGCTCCTGGCTTAGAAGCACGTCCTGCTCCAAAAACTCCCTGAGCTGGCCACTCGTGGGAATCAAAACTGGAAAGCATCTATAAATACCTCTTTAGAGGAGAGGAATGAAATGAAAGGGGGTTGAGGAGTTGGTTAAGATGGCAGAGCAAACCCTCTAACACTCAAGAGCTCTTCCATGTTCAGCAGGAAAAATGATTCCTATACTCGCCTTGCCCGCTGGCATTTTTGTAGTGCTGTGTCCTGTGTATCACGTTGTGTCCTGCTGCTTTGCGTTGCTGCATCCCGTTGATGTCAGTTGCACTTGAGATATAGATAGACCATGAATAGGTCTTGGTGGTGTGTGCCAGGAATGTAAATGGGAATTTAAATTGCTCCTCCTTTCTGGATCTCCAGTGGTGACTTTAACCTGCTTTCTTGTATGGTGCTACGTAGGTAAGTCGTCACTCTGGCGGCTAGTGCCGTTCGATGGTCGTTCCCAAATAGCTTTCCATAGGCAGTGTCCGAAAGGAAAAATCTTTTTTGCAACCTTCCATTGAACGTTCTTATTTCTGGTCCTTGCTTGCTGAAAATACTAGTTCCAAATTCAGGTGCGAATTTGTGAATTTGAGAGCGGGTTGCCAAGAAGAGGGTGTTACTCTGGCCTTCCTGATCTGTGGAGCAGCTTCCACAGCATTTTGTATGCTTCCCCAGGGGAGATTAACTTGATCTCCTTCAGCAGGGCGTTATTGCACGGTTGCGTTCACACCACACCAAGTTCTCCTCGATGTACGTGGAGCCCAGACAGGGTGCAATCACCGTGTCTTGCTTTAAGATTGTTACAGGGCTGGGCTTCATTGTTGCTCTGTATAGTGTTGGGCAAATGTTGGGGGACCTGTGCAGAACTGATTAGGTAGTGCCAAATGTCTGTTGTTTTATTATCTTCTGCTGGAATGGAGAAATTCTTGGTCATTATGTTTGAGTGTGAACTAAATACGATTGGGACAGAGGGTGCTCCCTGGGTTTTCAGAACTCTTGCATGTAGTTCTGGACTCAGTATTCATTCAAACTTGGAACCACAGTTCTTCAAAAACAGTTGGAACCAAACTGGTTAAAAGGCAACCATATTGAGGATCATTCAACTTGGGCCTACAGAGTCACACTTTTGGCTTGGAGGTGAGAGTTTTTGGAGCCGGAGAGCATTCTACAAACGTTCCCACACTGCCCTCTATTGTTGTCGCAGTCGCTTGTCTTAAAGTTGAGGGTTGCTGAAGATTGTGCTGTCAGAAATCCCAAGGGTTTCATGGGAATCCAGCATGCTGGTTGGAGAATTCTAGGAGTTGAAGTCCATATATCTTCAAGTTGCTGAGGTTGAGAGACACTGTTGTATCTCACAAGAGTCCAGAGTGAAAGCAAGGAGCATTACCTTCACTCTGATTTGGCTTTGGACACACCATCAAGTGATGTTCTGGACACTCCTTCCTGATTCCCACACAGGGACACTGCAGGAAAGTGAGCAGGTGTCCCCCCCCCCTTACCCAGGAGCACAAATTTGTAACGCTGGTGGTGATCTCCACCTTTTTAGTCCTTTTTTCACAGACCCTCAAAAAGGCTGAGTGGTCTCTGCAGATTTTTAAAGTTATGAGCAGGATAGCAAATGTCTGTAAGCAAAGGGAAGGGAATTCAATTCAGTACTAAAGGGATGTGCAGGACAGACTCGATCCAGTTTGAACATCTGTTCAAGTTTATTCTGTTGATGTGATTCCAATTGTTGATGTGGTTCAGGTCACCCAATCGATCCAGAGTTTTTTAATGAGGTCATTGAGGTGATCTGATCTGGAAAGTTGTTTCAGGTTGGGGGAAACACATTTGTAGCAAAGCTCACCGAATCGTCGGTTCCGTCTGAAAGCCTCCAAGTGGATTGGATGGCTCGATCTGAATTCCCCATCCCATCTGGAAAGTTGTTTTGCTACCGAGATTCAAAGTGTGATAGGATCTCCAAGTTTACATTTTGCACGCCTCTCTGTGCTCGGAACCCCTGTTCCTCACACCAAAGCATCCATGTGTGCAGCTTATCCACGCGTCCGTGTTTGCATGTTGACAAGACTGGCAAACAAAAAAATTCAACGACGTGAGAGGCTGTTATGCTTTCTTCTGGTCTTCTGAAGCCACCGTTGACTCACCTACCTTTACATAGGGGCCTACCGTGGATCTCTTCCCCTGTGAAGATCCAGAACTAAATGGCTGGACCAGATCTGCTGAAAGGCATTGTTGTTTTGAGTTGATCAAAGAATTCTCTCCACACGTGATTTGCGTTGGCTTTGCCAACCAGAATAACCAAGCCATCTTTGGAGCCCAGGCTTGAATCTGTGTGAACAGATTGAGTGGTAGACAAAATCTCAGCGCCATGGAGCAGGTGGCACAGCCAGATGGCATAGGAGGGAAATAAGGGCTTACAAAGGAGTGCATGCACCTATCGATTTGGCCTTGCTAATTTTCTAATTTCCCTCCAACGAGTCCTTCTACTTTGCAAATCCAACATTTTTTTTTTTTTAAAGGCCTGCGTGGAAACCTGTATGCCTTTTCTGTGGATTTCTTGTGTTTTCCAATATGCAAACATTTTGTAGCCAATTTTCCTCTCACCGCAATGCACCATTCGTGTATTGTGTTCCCTAGTATATAGTATTTGTGTACCTGGGGTTCAAACAGCATTGCAAACTTCAGAAAAGTATGAGTTTAGGTAGGCAACCCTGTTGCAGCGTGCGTTTACATTCAGGCAGCCTGGATTAGACAAATAATATTTATCTGCATACCGAGGGGAAATTCAGATGGGCCTCTTTTACAAGAAGGGACATTTAGGAGAAAGCAAAACCAGTTTAGCAATTCAAGCAAAGGGGCTCAGATGGCTTCGCTTTTAAAGTCTGGGACTTGAACTCTGCGTCTTCAGTGGGGTTAGGCGTGTGGCTTAGCTTGTTGATTTAAAAAAAAATATATGTGGAAGAAATCAAACTATCCAGATTGGTCTATCCATGCTGGGGGGGGGGCAGTCTAGAAGGTAAGGTACAAACCCTCTAGCCTGTTTGAAAAACATTGGGGGGAAAAAACTCTAAAAAGCTGCTTATGCAAATAAAATTGAAATAATTGCAAGAATAATTTAAAGAACGGGGGTAGCCCATCCTGTGCCTTACTGTGCTAGCTTGCTATCTGATGAGCATTTTTGTCGTTTATTTCGGTTTCTTTACATATGGTGCAAACAGCTCTTAGAGAAAACACGGAGCATTGCTTCACTCCAAAGTGGTACAGTACAGTGGACCATGTCAGGACTCTAACACCCTTTCTGCTACGTGTGTTAAGTGAGCGCCAGGTGATTAAAAAGTCAGTTGCATGTGAATAGTGTGTAACTTGTGTCGTTCCGCAGCAGAGATGTGCCAACCAACTTTGCATTTCATTGGGGACAACCTTGAAAAAAGTCCTGGACATTGATAAGCCTGTAAATGCGTTTTTTTTTTTTTAAAAAAAAACTGCTGGAAGAATCTTTAGGCTGCCATGCAAGGGGAAGATAATAGCTTTGGCAAGAAAAAAAGAAAAAATGGTGTCAGTGCAAGCAAAATTTAAAAAAAAAAAACTTTGAGGGTGGAATGATGACAGGAGTGTGTTCACCCTCCATGCCCAACATAAGGTCAGGTTATTGTGGGAAACCAAACATCTAACCCCTAATCAATGTGTTTGTAACAATCATGTGCCTTAAATTTTTTTCTTGTTGGGGGGATTAGGGATGAGGTGAGGGCTAGGGAATAACCCTAACCCTAAAAAAAAAAAAAAAACAAGGTCAAACCAACACTTGTCTTTCTGTAACCTTCCCAAGACCAATGCGGTAGTTTTAGGCTGGGGGTGGACAGTCCCTTTTTGCATTGTATTTGTACTGTACAACAAACAGATCAGTTTGGTTTTAAGACTATAGGGAG